GCATTTGAAGAAAAATCACCCGCAGGGGGAATTTTAAAAGGATCTTGAACGAATAACATTACATTGTTTGGGATACTAAAGTCTTCAAATCTGTTGTTGAAATTGTTCTGAAGCTTTTTTAATAAATCTGTTATTTAATTAGTTATGGTTGCTGAGTCCAGTGTTGAAAAATAAAATCCTTAGGGTTTGGGAAATAAAGAAGTTTGGCTGTTTGGAGATCCGTTACAAACAAAGCTAGCTTATCTCGAAAAGCGTTCAATTTTTCAACCAGATCAATGATTGTCTTGAGTCTTCCTTGCAGTTGCAAGTTCAGTGTGTTCAAATGAGCAAACAAATCGTTTAAAAAGCAAACATTTGCCAAAAATGCACTGTCACGTAATACTTTCCTATACTTTTCTGCCTTAATATGGGAACAGTTTCCAAGAAAACATATTATTTCTTCTTTGATACTCCAAAAACGATCAAGTGCTTTCCCTTTACTCAGCCAACAAACGTCATAATGCAGAAGTAAGTCTTTGTAATCTGCTTCTGTTTCTTCAAGTAACTGCCGAAATAACCTGTGCTGAAGACTTGATGAAGATCGAATGAAATTGATTATTTTCATCACTATATCCATTGTTTCCTTCATCTCGTCGCTCAGTTTGCTGCACAGAACACTTTGATGGATAAGGCAATGTAGCGAATGCATCTGAGGTGCTACTGCAGAAAGCCTGGCAGTCACACCTTGATGCTTACCTAACATTGACGGCACCCCGTCCGTTACCAATAAACAAATTTTTTTCAAATCAAGTCCATTTTCTGTCAAAAATAACTTAATCTTATCAGAAATGACTTCTCCAGTTGTGAAATTTTCTAATGCTATTGCTATTAAAGCTAGAAGTTCTTCATGAAAATGTTTTCCATAAAAAAAACGCACATATAAACATAACTGAGCCACGTCTATGATATCTGTAGATTCGTCAATGGCAATTGAAAATAATTCTGCCTGCTTTATGTTTTCAATTAAAGATTCAAAAACATCAGTTCCTAAAATTTTGATTCTGCGTATCGTTGAAGTATCCGACATAGGGATTTGCTGAACTGCATGTGACACGCTTGTTTTTATTTTATCATCAACTGCTATTTCGTCCGGAATTGCTAGCAAGCATTCTTTCACGGTTTCTGAGTCAGTGAAAGGCCTCTTCTTTTTGGCTAATATCCACGAAACATGCAAAGAAGCCGCTGTGGCTTTTTCTTGTTGAGTACAAGCTCGCACAAACAATTTGCTGCTATGCTGATAAGTAGCAATCAGTGACTCAACCTTTGATTTCCTAGCAGTGAAACCTTCTGGATATGATTTTCCAAAATCAGCGTATTTCGTTGTAAAGTGCCGCTTTACGTTGTACTCCTTTACTGCCGACACACATAGCAAGCACATTGGTTTCGAATTAGGCAATGTTGGTGATATAAATAAATATTTCAGTGTCCAGTCATTGTTGAACATACGATTTTCACACATCCATTTAGCTTTCTCACTAGTACCAGCCATGGCATCAAGTATGTCACTTAAGTATTAAAATTTAGATAAGTTAAAACACTGTTACTGTTTCAGTTTGTTACTACACAATCGCGTCCGGTAGTCTGCGTCTGTCTGTGACTTGCACACTAGACGTTTACGAAATATCTGACTATAATCTAACAACAAATTCACCGCGATGGCCAGTGTCACTAATGTTCTGCAGCACCCATTGTCATTAATAGTGTTCAACTTTAAGGGATAGTTCCTCGGTAATCTAAGCGCTAACTATCTGGATTGGGATTGGATCTCCAAACGCCTCCTGTCAAATAAATATCTCACCTTCATTGACTGTCCAGTGGAGCGACTGCTGCCTACCGTGGTTACTTGATTCTGTCCAGCCTATCTTATTACCTTTGGCTCCAAACAGGCGAGTACTGCTATTTCAAGTAACTTTTACCGTGAACTAATTACATTTCCATGCCTGAGAGATTTCCTCAGTTGTGGTATCGTCTGTTCATTCGCCTGTTCCCTTGTATCTTCGCATTTAGAGATCCCTGACAAACATTTCTTATTGTCACATTCGACACAACTGGTTTTTGAAGATTTATACAGAAACATTGATTAATTACATCTTTTTGAAATATACTACATTTCAGTGGCAACGATCGGCGGGCCACTTGCTAGGTCTCCGCGGGCCAGATTTGGCCCGCTGGCCGCCAGTTGAATAGCCCTGGTCTAGGTACTTTAGTCAAATGTTCAAAATGCTCTGTAAACAATCTCTTTCCAACAGTACCTCATTTAGGCTTGTATGTCATTTCTGAGCTGAGATATGTAGGTTTTTGTGGAGATGAGATGTAAAAAACAGCTGTTGAAAACTTGCGTCCCAGAACCGAAACAAGAAGTTTTCTCTGCGCAACCAAACTGCGCACTTTTCGTTTTAGCTTTGTCTACATTGGACAAGATGGCAGACAATGAGACACAGCCACATAATAGCGATCGCCTGAAAAATGTCACTGTAAATCTAAAAAGCCACTCATAAAAAAGAAATTTTATATACAAATGTAAAATTGGACGGAGAATTCAATTATAACTAGCATTATCAGGACGAGTAATGTTAAAGCCTAAAGCCAACCTTGAATACTTACCGCTATTTTCACAGCCACATAATAATAATAGCGATTGCCTGAAAAATGTCACTGTAAATTTAACAAGCCACTGATAAGAAAGAAATTTTATATACAAATGTAAAATTGGACAGAAAATTCAATTATAACTAGCATTACCAGGACGAGTAATGTTAAAGCCTAAAGCCAACCTTGAATACTTACCGCTATTTTTAATCAAATTGATGTAACAGAAAAACAGAGGACATCCGGCTGTCGTAGACATGCGCTGTTAATCGGGTTCGCTCCCGCCGTTTTCAGCTATTTATAGCTGGTGAAAATCACACCAATCGCAAAATTTCATGAGAGATTGGGACCCATCCCGAAACTAGCCGACATTACCCAAACAAGTTTTGAACGATTTCCATGGTAACGGAATTTGCCAAAAGACCGCAAATTGCCGAACACCTTAGTCGCTAGGGTAAGGTTAGATGTGAAAATTGTGGCGCAGGAGTTCCACATAATGGCAGATAATCTGATGCTTGTGGGAGTGGCGCCACTGGAGTTTTCTTAAATATGACGGCAATATCGCGCGGCTGGTGCCCCATTGATGCCGAATTGTCCATGTGAGTAGCATCCACAGTCCTTCAATTGTTTGGGTGTGTATGTCACTGTGCGCGATTAGTTGAAACTCCTGCGTCAAAATTGTCACATCTACCCCTAACCCTAACCACATAAATTTATCGGTCATTAAGGCATACAGATCTGCAGGAGTCACATCCGTGGCAACTAATAGCACCATTATAAAAGGATATATTTACTTAAACAAAACAACCCAGATGTCCCCGAGGAGTCAAATAAACACCCAAATCTGTGGGAAACACCCAAGCATTGGCAGCCCTGATGTCGACCTCACTGTCTGTTTTGATTCGTGACTTGTCCGCTCCGTATTTGTAATGCAGCCAAGGGAGTGAATTCCCACTAAGCGACCGTCGGCTTTCCAGCTAGCGATCGGTATTTAAAGGAGAGCCTTATTAACTATTATTGGAACTCTGCGCTGGCTGCTGAAGATGAAGACGGAGTACACATGGAAATACCCGGAGGGCTGTGATGTCATTTCTTGATTCAACTTAACTCAGTAAATACACACAATTTTTATTAAAATTTGCCGCTGTCTGATTGCAGACGACAAAATTTGAACAAACTACATTAACAAGCATTTCATTTCCTTTTTCAGACTTGGAAAACAAGTAGTTAAATAAATCAAAAATGCATACTTATCATTACAGGCAGTAGAAGAATCAATACAAACAAGTGCCCGTAAGCATTATAAGCCAAACTGGAATAGTGAACAAATTAATGATGAGGGTACTGGGTGAAACTCAAAGATCATGCTACAGAAATGTGGAAATATGGTCACAGGAAACGAGGCAGTTAACCTCTTGGCAGACACTTTTTTAAACTCTGGATAACAACACTGGAATAAGTTTAGAAAAAAACAACCAAAACAATGAATTCAAGATTACACTTAGTAAACTGAGTTAGCAGTTTCAAAGCTTAACATGCAAAAAGTACCATGAACAGTTTAAATGTCCAATGAAATGATAAAGAGACCTAGGGGCAGCAGCCAAAACAAAGCTGTTACAGATATTGAATGCTTGCTGGACAACAGGAAAAGTCCCACAGATTTGGAGGAGGCAGTTATGATACCCCTTTTAAACCTGAGAAAGACAGTTCCAATGCCTTTAACTACAGACCAGTCAGCCTTACCGGCTGTCTGTGCAAAACAGTGGAGAGAATTGTCAACTTTAGACCACAGTGCTACATTGAAAATGAAAACATCATTACACCACAGCAGGCGGGCTTTAAAAAGTTCTACTCTACGGAAGACCAGACAACATACCTCTCCCAAGAAATAGAGGATGCATTCTAATATAAGAAACTGGTACTTGTGGCATGGATAGATTTAAGGTAAGCTTTCGATTAGGTTTGGAAGGTGGGGCTTTTGAAGAAATTGAGAAACTACAAAGTGAGTGGAAGAATGTACAATTGGATTAAAGCATACCTACAGAACAGAAGTACAGATTTATATGAGAGACAAAATTGCTGATATAGACAACTTATGTAAGGCAGTTAAAAGAAGAAGTGGAAGAAGAAAGGAGATGACATGATAGGAGGGCTTGGTGTGAGGTTGCTGTGAGCTTTTGCTACTGAAGAACATAAAACACAGCAGCAGAAGAAGACACCCATATGGTTCATATTCATTCTTTTCTCTTTCCTGCAGGAATCAAGTATAGAGGTTAACACTACCTTCAAAGCATTCTGTTGGATCCATGCTTGTGCATTTAATTAATTGAGCTAGACCAGTGAATAGAGCTGCCTCTCCGACAGACCAGATGATGGCTGGTAACAGTCACATGCGAGAAGTTGACTCAGATTTGCTTATTTTAAATGAGAGGCTCAAAAGTTATATAAATGAGGGCATGGATAATGTTATCAGTGTGGCACAGAATGTTGCAGATTATTGCAGCGGTGAGTTGTCCTTTATGTCTTGTGTTGATGATGTCAGTCAGTAGTAGTATAGTCAGTGGTCGAGATTTCAGTTTCACTGCAAGCAGGTAACACCATAGTTGCTGTGTTCTGGTGCCTGTGAAAATCACACAGAATACTCCTCACTAGCCCATATAAGTGCTAGTTCTCGCATGGGTCCCATTGTGGGGAAAACAAGAGTAAACCCTCTGCCTCACCAATAAGAATATCATAAGAGTTGACTAACTGGGGGGCTTCTTCCAAGTTGGAGTGCATCTGCCTGAGGCAAGGAGCCAACAGCCTGCATAAAAATAAGTCAGATCTGTAAAACAGATGTGCACGCACTACTCAGGTTCTGGAACCAGACTAAGATCCAGAGTTGGAGGAAAAGCGAGTATGTTCTGCCAGCATTTACAGCCAGTGAACGCGAAGAAGAAGAAGAAGAAGAAATGCTAGTGAAGAAACATTTAGTCCAGGCAACATTCAGAAACATGCAAATGCAAATAAAATGCATAAGGCAGTCACTAGAGGTGCCAGTACCAACAGTCACCACCAGAATTTCAAGTTTTCCTCACGGAAGTAGTTAGTCATAACAGGCTGGTCATAACCATGCAATATTATTGGAAAAGGCACTTCGCCAGCTTGAATGCCATCTGGCCACACACCATATTTTTTTTATATCTTAACACAGGCTGCTGTGGACTCAGACATTCCGAACAAAGTACAAAGCTCACAAGATTGTACCGAGTACTGAATTCAGTGGTTTGGGCAGTGAAACTATAGACTGCAGTCTATATGTAGAAATTGTATTAGCAACTGTGGTCAGAAAAAAAAAAACATTCAGTACTTTAATGGATTGTCTGACCAGCTGCTACAGTAGAGTCCACGTAAGTTGAACTCAAATAAGTCGAATTTCGGTTAAGTTGACATGACCAGCTTAGTCCTGGCAATTTCCTCTATTGTGTGTACTGTCTGGATAAGTAGAAGTCCTGATATGTGGAAGCATTTTCTTAGGTCCTTGCGACTTCTACTTATCCAGACTCAGCTGTATTTTAGACTAGGAGCTAATGATGCCAGAAGAAATGGAAGTGTAGCAAATAGCATGCAGAGTGATCTCAAAAAAAAAAAAAAACCTTCGAAAATATTAATAGTTACTGGGAAATGTCTTCGAAAGTATAGGCGGCACCTGGGGAAACTAAGCAGATATATAAGAAAAGAAGTTTAAAAAAAATTAATTGACAGTTGTTTATCTTAGGCTCATAAGGTAATGGGTTCAAATCTCAGCATGTCAGATATTAACAACCAGTTGATTTCTGATGATATTAGATGTCTTCTCGATCTCCAAGGGCCCCTTATTGGAAACATTTCTTTCTCAGTTGAAGGCAAAAAAAGGGCCCTTTGTGAAGCTGGACTTATTCAGTACCACACAGCTCACCACAATTTATTGTGTAAACCAAACATCAGTGCTATTCCACTAAGTTTACTCAGGGGCCAACATTTTTGAAAATGGGGATCGTCATGTGCCAGAAGCCTGAGCCCTGGCATAGAAAGATGTTTAATTTCAGTACAACTGGCACTGATCCGCAGAGCCACTTGCTGGGCCTCTGTGGGCCAGATTTTGGCCCACGAGCCAGCAGTCGAATAGCCCTGCCTTACATGATAAGCTGTTGTTTCCTAGTAAGTTGTTATATTCCTCGTATGGGTTTCAGAGCCCAATTGGTGGGGGGGGGGGGGGGGGGGGGACGAATAGAAACCTCAGATAAAACATGTAGTAAAAAATTTACAAATTAGAGGTGTTTCCTTCAAAGTCGAAGTATATCTGCCAGGGAGGCAAAAAACCAACAGTCTGCATAGATAAATAAGCCAGATCTGTAGGACAGATATGCACATATAACTCAAGCTCTGGAAAAAGACAGCTTTCCGCAAAAGTTTACAGCCGGTAAACCCTAAGAAAATGATGGAGCAAGAGGAGTTGTTACATTAACACACTATATCCTGATTTTTACTCTATGTTCAGCAGAATTGTTATTTTACCTCTTTTATTATACCAAACATTTTCCCCATTTGGGTTCCGGGTCCCCATTTTGAGGAACATTATAATAGATCAACTGTTTCAATAACAAGCACGTTGTAAAAGGCTGAGATTAATGTTAATTTGAAAAGTTGAACTTGACACTGGTAGTTAATGAGCCACAAAATAGTTTTTGTAAGATTTGCTTTGGTGTCCTTCTGTGCAACCACAAGTGATGTGAAGTGGCATGGTCAGTGTCGAACTTCACCTGTCACTGCATATTAATGAGTGGGAAATCTTAACAGCAGGGAGGAGATGTCGTAGAAGCGCTTGCGGAGTAACAAAGAGATTTATTTAAAAGTGAAGAAAGGCTTTTTTCCCGCGTTATCAACTCTTTTAATTACAGCTACCTTATCTGGTTTAAAAAAAAATTATCTGCCCTTCCTATTTATTCATTCATTCATTCATTCAGTAGCATGTCCCTCGCGGAACCTCGCTGCCATAACAACCCTCCGGAAAACCTTCCTATCATGAGCAAGATGTCCTGCGTCTGATACACCCATCTGGAGATCATCTGCCACATCCTGCACCCATCTTCTCCTTGGCCTTCCTCTTCCTCTCTTCCCAGGCATATACCCCTCCATTATTGTTCTCTCTAGACCTCCATGACGTTTCAAGTGACCAAAATATTTCAATTTTCTTTGTTTTATTGTCTTTACTAGCCAACCCTCTTCAATATTCAGCTCTTGAAGTATGGATGCATTTGTTCTTTTCTTTACCCAAGATATTCTTAGAACCTGTCTGTAACATTTATATTCAAATGCATTTATGCGCTGTTCCGCTTGTTTAGTAAGTGTCCAGGTCTCACAGGCGTATGTTGCAATGGGAAAGATGCATGCTCTTAAAAATCTGACCTTTGTAATTCTATCTGTACAATTCCATAATTTATTCAGTTGTTTTAGTCTTTGAAGAGCAATTGATAGTCGCCGTTTAATTTCTTTCATTGTGTCACCATTGTTGGTAACCAGTGACCCAAGATATTCGAAATTTTCCACCACTTCCAATCTTTCCTCATTAACATATATTTCCTTCTCCATGGCAGTTTTGTTTGTATGCATTATCTTTGTTTTTGCTGTGTTAAGAAATAAGTTATGATTTTCACTATTTCTTTGGAGTGAGGTTAATAAGTTTTCTAAACCATTTTGTGATGTTGATAGTAATACTGTATCATCAGCATAACGAATTTCTGGTATTTCATGACCACCGATGTTTAGGGCATCATATTGTTCCTTGTTTATATCATCTCTTACATTTCTCATTATATTTTCGGCGTACAGGTTGAACAAATACGGTGACAGCACACATCCCTGACGGACTCCTTGCTTGATGCCAAACCAGTCTGATGTCTCTCCATCTATTCTGACTGCTGCTTGTTGGTCTTGATAGAGCATTTTAATGAGCTGCACTATATGTGATGGAAAGCCCATATTCCTCATGATTTCCCAAAGCTTCTGATGTTGTACACAGTCAAATGCTTTTGAATAATCCACAAAACATAAGAACAGATTTACATTAAATTCTCTACACTTCTCTATTATTAAACGCATGTTGAATATATGATCTCTTGTTCCTCTTCCCTGTCTAAATCCAGCCTGAGCTACATTAATCTCTTCTTCCATTTTCTTTTGCAGTCTTCTCATTATAATTTTTAGTAGAATTTTACTTGCATGACTGATCAGGGCAATAGTTCGATAGTTTGTTCCTATTTATTAGTTATTTTAATAATTTGTATGCTAATCTATGTATTTTTTACCATGTTATCAACAATTTAAATCAGTTTCGTGCCCTGCATCTGTCTGTCATTACCATATCATCAGCAATTTTAGGCAGTTAAATGCCTTTTTGCTGTGTATCCGTACCATGTCATCCACTGTTATGGATGTTTTTTTTCATTTTCTTCTCCTGGCATTGGTTGTTATGTCTGTCCACAACCTTCTGTCTCATTACTTTCAGTCATGTCTGACACAGATGATCTTCCATACCATGCTGTTAAACTGTCCAGTATTTTCTCTCGTGGTCTCACTCTGCTTCTTTTCCCCTCCAGGTTTCTCCATCTGATGACATGACCAAAGATTGAAAATTTTTTTTCTGATGTGGGTAATTAGTTCTTTTTATGAGTTGATTTCTGTAACAACATCTTTATTACTTTTTTTTTAATCTGTCTATAGCATTCTCATCACCCTTCTATAAAACCACATCTCTACCTCTTTCACATAATTTCGGTATAGATGTATCATAGATGTGCACAATTGTGAACTCCTTGACAGATAATGAGAAACTCAAGCAGGAGGTGAAGGATATCATGAACAGCTTTATTGAGATGGAGCGTCAGACAGGGCAGTATGTCCAGGCATTGAAACACCTAAAATCTGTGGTAAGTGATGCAGTTCTGTGGTTTCTTCTTCACTAAATCATCATCTTATCTCATCTTTGCTTTCTCTTGTAGCTCGCAGTGTAGTTCTTCTAATTGTGAACATTAGTTCTGTCATCGACCATTTAGAAAATTCTCCAGGTAGTTCTGCCATAACTAACAGAGACAAATATCTAGACAGGTAATTTGGAATCTTATGGAAAACTCTCAACATAGGATTGTCATCAGCCATGCTATGTTATCACAGTTGACATAACTGCACACTGTGAATGCCCATGAGTGCTCAGTCAACTTCAAGTACCTTTACTTTACCTGTATGATTGCTTATAAACTTATTATTGGGAAACAGATTTTGTGGTTTAGCCAGGTTTTCCAAAATTTAACTTATGCAAACATTGATACACACCAACAATTAACGAGCAGTTTCTTCTTTAGGATGTGGACTCTGAAGAGAACTCTGAACTGTTGACTGTGTTCAAAGAAAAACTCAAGCAAATTCAAGTCATTGAGCAAGATAGTCCAGAGAATCACCCCAAGTATGTCACACTGGAAGGGCAGCTGACTGATTTAGGAAACATTGGTGAGCTGTCCTTTTGGTATAGCTGTCCTTTTAACATGTCCGTCCCTTTGTTGTATCTGGGCATATGTGTTTGTGGGGGTATTTATTAAAAATGATTGTTAAGTTTCATTATCAAACACTTGAGTTAGTTGTGTATCCTTTACAGGACTTTGCAGAACCAACCCCAGCATTTTTTTGGCTGTTGTGGTTTTTCTAGGCAAATTTACATCAAGTAGTTTGTCATTGCTTTCCGGGCGGTCAGCTTCTCGATACCACTGTTGAAACCACTGCCAGGCCCACAGCTAGGATCGAACTGGTATTCCAGCATTACGAAGCACGTTCACAACGCCTAAGCGACAGACGCCCACATCAAACACATAAGTGAAATTAACATTTGTAAGATGAGATGCATTAGGAAAGCTTCCATTAAAAAGCCAGAAAATGAATGAGAAACACTTGCAGTCTGACAGTCTGTGGGATGAATCTCTTATGTCAAATAAATTAGGAAGCAGAAGATCAAATGGTTTGGAGATCTTATTAAAAAAACAGCCTCACCAGTTACCAGCATAGTTGTTACTTTTAATGAGATTTGAAACGAGAACAAGCAAACGCAGGAAGAAGATGGATTGACAGCATTCACTTGGAATTTCCTTGCCAACCATCAACTCTTCTATTCAGTAGTAGTTGAAGATGATGATGAAGATTGCCTTGTTGTTGTTTTTGCTTATGTTCAGAGGGGTGGGTATAATATCCTGCTTCAGCAACAATTGACACAGCAATGAGTGATCTTTTCTTTCCAAACAATAAAGAATCAGCTTCACGGATGTTATTTTTCAAATAACCAGGACTTTATTACTGACCACATTGTTATTCAAATCACCAGGAAGTTTTTTTCTGTTACTGAATTGCACACATAGTTCTGGGTGGAAGCTGAGGAGTTCTGCAATCAGGTCATCGGGAAAGTGAATATATGGAAGAGAGGTGAACTCTTAGAGGGCTAAAGTTGACACTGTGTAATTGCCTGGACTCCTTCGTGCATAATCATTATCATCATCGTAAACCCCTTCTGCCGTTCAGCAGCGTGGGGAGAAACAATTTGTGATCCAGTGCACGCTAGCTAGCACTGGCTAGTGTCATGCTATGTCGAAATGTTGCGATCCATCTTTTCTTGGCTGTCCTCTTGCTTTTATAGCTGGCTTTCTCTTCTTCTTCTATCTTCTTTGCATTCACCAGCTGTAAACTCTGGTGGACAGTTCTGGTTGTTCGTCGACTTCTGGACTGCAGTCCTGTTCCAGAACCTAAGTGTTGCATGTGCATCTGTTTGACAGATGCACTCCGACTTTGAAGGAAGCTCCAATTAGTTGACTCTTACGATAAGCTTTTGGGCAGGCAGTGGGTTTGTTCTTGTTTTTCTCTATAATAGGGCCCCGGAACCCACACGGGGGAGCTGGCTTTCTGAAATATAGTGCCTGTGATGGTATTTGATGTTGCTGCATTCCAACAAGATGGCCAGACCACTTGATCTGCTGTTTCTTGTTAAGTCTAGTACAAGGTGTTGTTTCCACACTCTGTATTATAGTATCATTATTCACTCAATCTCAGATGGCTTTTCTCAGGCTTCTCATCTCATTTCTCATCTCATGCCATTATTATTATAATTATTATTATTGTTATTATTTCTTTCTGCTGTGCGTATAGGCTATGTTTTTTTACCCTTTAAAAAAAAGACCAGATCCTAAGATAGAACCAAGGTACCATCCATTTCTTACCCTGGGAATATTTTCTACCAGTCACACAGATTTAAAGCTCCCCGTATGGGTTCTGGGGCCCTATCATAGGGAAAACAAGAATAGACCCACTGCCTATCCAAAAGCATATCGTAAGAGTCGACTAATTGGGAACTTCCTTCGAAGTGGGAGTGCATCTGCCTGAAAGTCAAGGAACCAACAGTCTGCATACAAATGAGTCAGATCTGTCAAACGGATGCACACGCAACACTCCGGTTCTGAAACAGGACTGCAGTCCAGAAGTGAACGAACAACAAGAACTTTCCGCTGGAATTTACAGCCGGTGAACGCAAAAAAGATGAGATTTATAGCAGGTTTGCAAGAGTAATGGGCGGATGGTATACTTTTATGATAGGCGGATGTTATACCTTTATGATAGGCGGAGGTTATACCTTTATGATATGCGGATGTTTTACCTTTATGATAAGCGGAGGTTATACCTTTATAATTGGCAGATGTTATACCTTTATGATAGGTGGAGGTTATACTTTTATGATCAGCGGGTGTTATGTCTTTATGATAGGCGGATGTTATACCTTTATGATAGGCGGATGTTATACCTTTATGATAGACGGATGTTTTATCTTTATGATAGGCAGATGTTATACTTTTATGATAGGCAGATGTTATACCTTTATGATAGACACAGGTTATACCTTTATGATAGGCGGAGGTTATACCTTTATGATAGGCGGAGCTTTGAGCCTTTATGATAGGCGGGCTTATACCTTTATGATAGGTGGAGCTTATACCTTTATGATAGGCGGAGGTTATACCTTTATGATAGGCGGAGGTTATACCTTTATGATAGGCGGAGGTTAACCTTTATGATAGGCGGAGCTTATACCATTATGATAGGCGGAGGTTATACCTTTATGATAGGCGGAGGTTATACCTTTATGATAGGCGGAGGTTATACCTTTATGATAGGCGGAGGTTATACCTTTATGATAGGCGGAGGTTATACCTTTATGATAGGCGGAGGTTATACCTTTATGATAGGCAGATGTTATACCTTTATTATAGGCGGAGGTTATACCTTTATGATAGGCGGAGGTTAAACCTTTATGATAGGCGGAGGTTATACCTTTATGATAGGCTGATGTTATACCTTTATGATAGGCTGATGTTATACCTTTATGATAGGCAGATGTTATATCTTTAAGCATCTAACTTCTGTTTCTTCTGCATTTGCCCTGAAATAAGCAGTTGGCATGTTGTGTTGGCGTTTACAGTTAAACTGTGACATCTTTGTCTTTCTGCCCAATACATTTGACTCCAGCAAACTTCTAATTGGTTGCTTTTTATAACATGCTAGTTGGGAGCAGTAAGAATACACCACCCAATTCCATAATGTAGACTTGTCTTTAATGTCAGGAATCCATCTTCTCCTTTCACCACAGCTCTTTTTTAGATGTAGCATCTGAATACTTACAACTACACTACCCAAGAGTCAAAATGGGTTCATATTATTTTTAACTGTATGACTTTTTGAGGCCAAGAATGGTTTTTTTTTTTCAACAGTGAATAATTTGGGACCAGTATTCAGAAGAGTGCCTAACCTTTGAACCCTGAATCTATCCTAAGAGAGAAAAATAAGAATGACAGTTTATTTGTTTGTTTTGAAAACCAGTTTTATATATTTTTTCCATTGTAGAGGAGCAGTTGGAATGTTTGAGAGCCAGGTTAGGAGGAGCAACAGATGATGAGGAGGTGGCAATGACATCAGTAGAGATCCAGATCAAGTGCCCATTCACGGGTCAGACTATGGTTCAGCCGGTGCGCAATAAAGTTTGTAACCATGTCTATGACAGGGATGGTATTCTCTCCTATATTAACAGCAGGAAAGCCAAGGCGAAGTAAGTACATGTTGTTTGGCTGGTGTTAAAAAGTTAGTTGTGTATCTTTTACGGGTCGTTGCAGAACCAACCCCAGCATTTTGGGGCTGTTATGGGTTTTTTAGACAAATAAATTTAGGTCCAGTAGTTTGCCATTTCTTTCTGGATGGTGGGCTTCTCGATACCAGTGTCGAAACCAACGCAAGGTGCAAGGCCCGCGGCGGGTATTGAACCTGGCACCCCAGCATTACGAAGAATGTTTGCAATGCCTAAGCTACAGACACCAACTGGTGTAGTTTGAAATATATAGTTTACAATTCAAGTTACATATTTTCAAGTGTAGTGTTTTTTCATTGTTAACACATGAGCACATATACAGAAATAAAGGCAGACCAAAAAACAAATGGAGAATAGAACTAGAGAGTTTGGTTAAAAAGATGGGGAGGACATGGGGGGGGGGGGGGGGGGGGGGGGGGGTGAGCTGCATGCAATAGCAAAGAATAGAATAACTTGGCATGAGTTGGTTGAGGCCTGTGCTCCACTGGGGGGATAGAAGGCAGAAGAGAGATATATGCCAATGAAAGCTGGGGAACCACTTAAGTCATGAAACAAAAGTTAAATGCATTAAAACCAATGCCTAAAGAAATTGATGAGCAAAAAAATGAAATAAAAGAAATGTTTGGACAGCTTGTTTGTTTACTCAACGGATCAAAATCATGGCACATGGGTATAACTTATAAGTGCTGTCTGGACAACTGTTGGTATCAGCAGTTATAACAAAAAAAAAAAAAGATATGGATTTTTTCTTCTTTGCAGTCACCTTCTGTGAAATCTCCGGCAGAAACTTTGTACACCTCTGGACAAGTCTTGTTCGATAACATGAGTGACGTGTGCACATCCATTTTCTAGATCTGGCTTATTTATATGCAGTCTGTTGATAACTTGTCTCTCAGGCAGATGCAATCTGACTTAAACGGAAGCCCCAGTTATTCAATGCATGCAACATGCTTTTTGGGGAGGCAGTGGGTCTGTGCTTGTTTTCCCCACAATGAGGCCCCAGAACCCACACAGGAAAAGAAGATGATAGATCAGGTACCTCATGAAGAGAACAACACCATGCAGCAAATTAATTGAGAAACAGAAGATCAGAATGCAGCTAGAACAACTACTAACACAGGTGCTACACATGAGAAGATCTGAAGTCAAAGCAAGAGGTTGCACTAGGAGAATATGGATTGATGACATTAAAGAGCTTCTACATCGACACAGAATTACAATAGCCATTTCTGCCCATCAAGCAGTGGATCACAAACTGTTACTCTCCATAACGCTTAACGGCGGGACTGAGCCTCGAGAGGCAGGGGGTAAGAAGTGTTGGTGTTGTGGGTAGTGGGTTCCCCCCCTTACTTCACCCTAGGTCTAGTGAATATCTGTTCACGAAAGGAGCGTCCATTGTGGTGTCAGCCTCTTGACCTAGCAAAACCTCTCTTACCTCAAGACCATTGTGCGTGGCGAAGAGTCACAGCCTCCCCGAGGTAGTCCCGGTAACTGGGGGTGCGAATCCCCAGGCAAAACACAATGGATCTAGAGGAGCAAACCTCGATAATAAACCCGGTGCACCACACCGTACTGCCCCCTGTGGGAGGGAAGGAGCCAGAGGTGTGCTGAACAGTCTTAGGAATGGAAACAAGTATGCTAACCCCCCTGAATACCGGAAATTATCGTGAAGGCACAGGGACTCAGGACGTGACGATCCAGTTGCCCCAACTACTCATGCTTAGGCCATGCTTAGAGACATGAAGAGCTCAGCGAAACCTGCAGGCAATCTGGTGGCGGGGAATGAGCACACTGTGAGCCCCACCTTAGCTACGTGTTAAAGGGAAAGGCAGAAACACAACCCATATTTCCTTTAGAACTGGTACAGGGCATTTCTAGCTGCTGCCCGGGGAGGTAGGTAATCCACAGACACCCCAGCACCACAATGCCATGAATATGTCAAAATTTAAGAATACATACGAGATCGGTCGTCGCCTCGTCTATCAAGGCCCGCGCCAGACAGTGGGAAACCAGGCTGTCATGTGCGAAAAATTGGCTACTGGAAAATTTGAAATAAATAGGGAAAACAGACACCCCAGGAGGAGGAAGAGTGGGAGGGAGAGCAATAAGAACTCAGACAGCACAGCAAAAAATACACAGATGCTCAATATTCTGCAGCTGAACATCTGTGGAATAAGAAATAAGAAACTTGAACTTGCCAAACTGCTAAACAACCACAGGGTACACGTGGCTGCCCTACAAGAAACCCTGCATAAAGACTCTGATCTGCATCTCACTGGATATACTAGTTATGCCTGTAAGTGCAATGACTGCCGGGGCATAGTGACCTATATCAGAAATGACATACAAGGAGATGTAACAATGCTGTCGACATCTCACCCTACAGATGTGCAAAAAATAACTATCTGGCACAATGGAAGCAAATACACGATATACAACGTGTACAGCCCACCCCAGACAACATGCAACATACCAGAACTATACAAGACACAGTACCATAAAACCCTTCTTGTTGGTGACTTCAACGGACACTCGCCACGTTGGGGTTACCCTGACTACAATAGCACAGGGAAGTACATCGAAGATACTTGTGAAACAACTAACCTATTAGTGCTGCAGGACACAGAGTCTACACCTACACTGTTACACAGGGCCCACCTATCTCTCAGCAGACCAGACCTGACCATCTGCTCATCCGACTTAGCAGACGCAAGCTATCCCCAAGTCCTGGACGACATAGGAAGTGACCACAAACCTATACTCACAACTGTAAGCACCACCCCTAAATTACGCTTCAAGCAGAGAACTCGTTGGAATTTCCGAAAAGCAAACTGGAAACTATTTCAGGAAACATCTGACTGCCTCCTGGGAAGAATTGACAACAGCTGTGTGGAAACTTTTTGTGAAGACATAACACAAGCAATCCTGAATGCAGCGTCGAAAGCCATCCCAAGGGGCAGCCGGAAGGCATATAAACCTTTTTGGAATCAAGAAATTCAAAATACTATATCTGAAAGGAATAAAGCAAGAATATTTCTCGAAACTGCACGTTCAACAGAAGCAAAGATCCAATACAATAAAGCATGTGCCAGAGTAAAGCTTGTAGTTAATAAGGCTAAAAGAGATAAATGGACAGAAACTTGCTCCAACTTAGACCTTAGACAGAATGGAAATAAAGCATGGACTTTAGTTAAAAACCTCTCCGGAGAAAGTAGAAGGGTGAACCCAAAACCAGTGACAGATGGGAGTAAGACAATCACTGAAGACAAGAAGAAAGCAGAACATTTCAATCATTATTTTGCCTCGGTTAACAGAGCAGGTAAGCTGTCAGAACTCGATAGAACACAGCTCTCTCAGTTGAAGAAACAAGAGAGAGCTCCAACAGCCAGCGACTCCCTTTTTGAAAATGAATTTAGCATGGATGAATTAGAGCAAGCCCTGAAGAAATTAAAACCTAGAAAATCTCCAGGCCCAGATAAGATCCACAACGAAATGCTGCTACATCTTGGCCGGTCTGGGAGAGAAGTAGTTCTCAGGCTTATTAATAAAACTTGGAGGTCAAGCAAACTTCCAAGGGCATGGAGGAATGCATATATCGTCCCCATCCTTAAAACCAAAAAGCCTCCAGATGACCCCAAAAGCTACCGCCCGATATCCTTAACATCATGCTTGGGCAAAGTTGCAGAAAGAATGATAAACAGGCGCTTATATTGGTTCCTTGAGAGTTCTGGTGCTCTATGCCATGAACAGGCAGGCTTCAGAACCAACAGCTGCACAGAAGACCAGCTGTTCAGACTGACACAAAGAATACATGATGGCTTCCAGAATAAGAAACACACAGTGGCAGTCTTTGTCGACCTTCAGCAGGCCTATGACAGAGTATGGAGAAAAGGTCTCCTGATGAAGATGATGAGCATAGGAATACATGGCAGATTGTATAACTGGGTGAAATACTTCCTGATAGATAGAACAATCCAGACTAAGATGCACAACGCAATCTCTTCTAAAGAAGTCTTGGAGGAGGGCTTGCCACAAGGCTCATCATTGAGCTGTACACTATTCCTAATCTTTATCAATGACCTGCCAGAACAAATCAAGGCTGAAAAAGCCTTGTACGCTGATGACCTAGCAATATGGCAGAGTCATGAAAATGTGGAAAGTGGAGCCCAAAGACTGAATGGAGACCTTAGAAGACTGCATGATTACTGCCAAAGATGGAAACTCAAGATTAACTGTGCAAAGACGGTCTACACAATCTTTACCAAAAGCCACCAAGTAGCAAGGAAGAATATTAACCTGAGGTTAGACAAACACCAAGTGATGAAAGAAGAGCATCCCACATACCTTGGAGTCACACTTGACCCGCAGCTCAGTCTCAAGAACCATATTGAAAACATCAGGAATAAGGCATTGAGGCGGTTACAGTTATTAAAGAGACTTACAGGTACATCATGGGGATGAGACAAGGAAACTCTGAGGGGCTTATACCTAGGATATGTTCGCTCTGTGATAGAGTACAACAACTCACTGCTTACAACTTGTTCCAAAACTAACCTAGAGACTCTTGACAGAGTACAAAATAATGCCCTCCGATTAATCTGCGGAGCTATGCAGTCTACACCAACTGCTGCATGTGAAATCCATACAAATGTGGAACCCCTCGGGTTGCGGAGAGAAAAAGCCACTTTAGAAATTTATGAAAGATGCGTTAGGAAAAATCGTAACCATCCTAATAGACATCTTGTAGAAAACTGGGAATCCAAACAAAGAATAAAGCACAAATCGGTTTTACACTGTGTTAATGAAATTCAGGACAGATACCACCTCCCAGAAAGACGTCAAGGAATTCAGAATGTTGCAAAAAACCTACCACCACATGCTCGCTTTAAAGCTCCAGAAGTCCAAACTAAATTGGTAGGCGAGGAAACCAAACAGTCCGACCCAATCGCTCTTATGAACTCATCACTAAAGACCGTTGATTCTTACCCCCAAGAATGGATACATGTCTATACTGATGGATCAGCATTTAAAGCTACCATTAAAGCAGGTTACGGAATCTACATAGGTTATCCCGATGGATCTGTTGAAGAGATTTTTGATGCATGCGGGGAATTCTGTTCAAACTATGAAGCTGAAATAATTGCACTGGAAACAGCCGTATACCACCTAAAGACTGTAATGGATGTTTACCCCTCAAAGGTCCAAAATATTGTCATCTTCACAGATTCAATGTCTGCCCTTCAAGCTCTGGAGGGCAATGAACGCTGCAGAACTGACATAGCCAAGATAATCCTGGATGCCGATCAGCTTATTACCTCATACAACATCAGAATAGTGATGCAGTGGATTCCAGGTCACTCCGGCACACCAGGTAATGACAGAGCTGACAGATTGGCAAAGAAAGGAGCAACACAAGAACAACCACCTACAGCGACAACCCTCCAGACAGCAAAAACACTGATAAGAGCTATAAACAAAGAGACTTGGTTGAACAGATGGGCCATGGGAGACACTGGAAGAGAGGTTTATAGACATATGTCTGGCCCTGATCCTAATGACAGCATTAACCATCTAACAAGAAGGGACCAGGCCACCATCTTCAGACTTAGAACGCAACATACTCCACTCAATGGACACCTAAACAGAATACAGCCACAACACTCCCCAGAGTGCCAGCTATGTAACTACCCCTACGAAACTGTTGAACACCATCTCTTTGAGTGCCCAAAACTCAGTGAGACAAGAAGAACGCTACTCCCTCCGAGACCAGACAAGTGGAACACCTTGTACGGAGGAAAAGAACAGCTTGTGAAAACATGCAAATTCCACTACATGGCATTGGGCCAAAGGGCGAAAGCTCATGCGCCGCTGGATCGATAACAACAACAACAACGCTTAACGGCAGAAGTGGAAATTGATAATGATGATGATGATAATAACGATGATGATGATAATGATGATGATGAGAAGTGAGTGTGAATCAGCAACAAAAAAAAAAAGGCTGTTGAATGGGAAACCAATTGATCGAGAAAATGAGGATGTCCAAAAGAAATTCTAAGATGAATCCAGCAATACCCGCTTTTCAGCTTTCCTTAGAATTTGTAATGGAGGGCTATGCCGAAGTGTTGATATCTCAGGGCCAAAGGGTTGGGAAAAAAAAAGCAAGTTGACCAGGGCTACCAAGTGGACCCAGCCTACAGTAGATATTGAAAATGTGTCAGGTGTAAAATGGACCCCATCCTCATTGAATACCAATTTGTTTAACAGTACTATAACCAGTATTCTTGAAGGTGCGCAAAATAATTGTTACCTTTCTATGCATAGTTCAGTTTTGGAATGGTCACTGAGTGTGTGTCTATTTCTCTCCAGACAGTAACCTTTCAGATACATTTTCTTTTATCAGTGTCTTCTTTTTATTGCTGGGCATCTCAGTTTAACAGATGATAGGTAGCCCAGCTAGGGCACTCCTGTTTGTTTAGTATTCTGTGATGTGAAGTCTTAGGTTCCTCCATATTCTTTGAGGTCTGCCTCTGCCTCTTAGTGATTCCATTTTCATGTAGAGTGCTTTTACTGCTGGTGTAATTGGAATCATTCTCAATAGGTGACCAAACCATTTCAGTCTTTGTCAGTGCATTTAACATTGGGTGATGTTCCAGTAGTTTTTCTAATCTCATAATGCCTCTCACACTCTTTTCTGGTTCTGCTTGCAGCCTGTCTCAAGCATCTTATTTTTCATGTAGTTAGTTTTCTCTCCTTCTTCTTTGGTTCCAGACAAATTAACTCATTATTATAATGTATTATCAAACTTTCTGCTTGTTCATACAGTGTGGTGTTGGTCATCATGTCTGTCCACTGCCTTCTTTTTCATGTTCTGTAAATCATTTCTATTGATTTCCCTCCGAACCTTTATGCTAAATCACTTCTGGTCTCTCTTGGTTTTCATCTGCTTCTCTTGCCATCCATGTTTCCCCTTATCACAACGTACTTTACATGTGTGTACCCTTTTTATAACATGCTATAGGGATGTGGACCATCTTCGTTTAAAGCGGGGACCCAGTTCACTTTGGTGAATTAATTTATGTCAGGACAGTGTCTTTTTCTGTTTGTGGCTTTCTCCTTACTCATTATAAAACCACATCTTTGCAGTTACACTGAACAGATATATTAGAATAAATGTGTGTTATCATGTCTTAGCTGTCCAGCTCTCTTTATGAGGTCATATCTTACAAGATATCGCCATGGCTTTCTCATCATTCCTCTATAAAACCATATCTGTGCAGGAACGTGGACCTTAACAGCTGAACTTGAAAGAAAGATACGAGCATTAGAAATGCTATGTTTCAGAAAAATTCTACGCATATTATACAGAGACAACATTACAAACGAAGAGGTTCATCATTAAATTATACAGCACATTGGCACCTATGAACCTTTTTTAACTACAGTGAAAAGACGAACAATGCAGTGGTGTTGACATGTAATAAGATCTAACTGCCTCTCAGAAACACCACTGCAGGGCTCAGTAGAAGGAAAGAGGAGAAGAGGCAGACCAAGAAAGACCGGGTTACAGAACCAGACTGACTGGACAGGCCTCAGGCATGCAACCATGAAGTCCATCGCAACTGACTGCCAAAGGTGGAGAGAGCTGATCAGGATGATGATGATGATGAAACTGAACAAATCAATTATAATGAATGCATGTTGTCATGTCTTAGCTGTCGAGCTCTCGTTATTAGTTTATTTCTTTCAAGATATTGCCATTTAACTTTCTATATTTTCTGCGAAACCATATTACTGCAGCTTCCATGCTGAACAAATGTATTCTAATATGTTATAATGTTTAGGTGCCCGGTTGGTGGTTGTACTAATAGCAACCCTATCAGATTAGAGAACCTAGAAGACCATATGGACATGAAGAAATACATTACACTCTTGAGAAAGCTACATCGGGAATGAGTGGAACAGACATTTTAAACAAGGTATGAAGAATATCAGGGGTTTGTCAGGTTAATATGTTTTTATTCTATACCAGTCAAATCACCATCTGCTGGTCAGTTCTTCATGCTGGTCAGTTCTTCCCGACATGAAATAAAATAACCATCTGCTGGTCAGTACCTCCATGCATGAAATAAAATCACTATCTGCTGGACAGTAACTCCGTGCATGAAATAAAATTCCTATCTGCTTTTCAGTACTTACATGCATGAAATAAAATCACCATCTGCTTTTCAGTACCTCCATGCATGAAATAAAATCACCATCTGCTGGCCAGTACCTTCATGCGTGAAATAAAATCACCATCTGTTGGTCAGTTCTTCCTGCGTGAAACAAACTCACCTTCTGTTGGTGAAACTATGGCTTGGAGATTAATGAATGCATTTAACAGTCTGTGACATATCAGAGGTAAATGTCCATATTGGAAGGTTTGGAAAAATACAGTTCTTGAGGCTTTTAGCAGTAGTATGAGAGTCATACCATAGAAAAGATTAGGGCCTCATCACACACTATTTTTAAGGGCATAAATGGAGGCACATGTCCACTGAAGCCAACCACATATTTTTTTTCTACATGGAGCAATCTGCTTATCAGTTGTTCCATGCATAAAATCAAATCACCATCTGCTGGTCAGTTATTTCCTGCATAAAATTAAATCACCATCTTCTAGTAAGTTGTTTCCTGCTTACAGTCAAATCACCATCTGCTGCTCAGTTATTCTCTGCATGAAGTCAAATCTCTATTTGCAGGTCAGTTGTTCTCTCTATGAAATCAAATAACCATTCTCTGGTCAGTTATTCCCTACATGAATTAAACTTGCCGCCATCTGGTCAGTTGTTTCCTGCCTGAAATCAAGTCACCATCGTCTGGTCAGTTGTTCCCTGTATGATGTCAGATCACCATCCTCTGGTCATTTGTTTGCTGCATGAAATAAAATCACCATCCACTGGTCAGTAAAGCCATACACAGCTTGAATACTTCAACTTTTCTGGTTCATTCTGTTACCAGTGGAATCAACAGATCTTGTTAAATTGTTTCCTACACAGCTAGAATGCTTTGAGTTTTCTTACCAATTAAATCAGAGGAAAGGGACACAGTTTGCAGCCTGACAGTACCTCAGGATCTTGAAACTCAGTCCTTACAGACTCGAGGGAATCAGTCACATAATGATAGTTTGAACATGTATGCAGAATGGGAAAAAACTGGCCACTATGACAGGCATGGGAGGCGAAGAACTAGGGAACCAGACCTCCAGGGTCCGCTGGGAAGACAACATTCAAAAGTCCCTGACTGACAGAGGACAGAAAAGGAACAAAGCCAGAAATAAGATTGCTGATAGAGATCTGGTGATCTCTATCAAACCTCTACACCCCAAGGTAGGAGAGGAGCGACTGAGTAAGTAAGTTAAATCAGAGGAACGGCTGGCTGAATAGTGAAGATTGCTAGGCTCTCTTGCAGGAGGCCCAGGTTCGAGTCTTTGAGGTTATAGATTTTTTCAGTTGGGGTAAAAATACAATCCTAACCTGCTAAGTCTGTAGTGTCTGTGCAGTCCACACGGCCTTAAATTCTAAGGCTTGGAGACTCTTGTCTACACAACAACCGACGCTTGACACTCATGGGAAAGGTGAGACGGATATACAATCAGACAGTTACTGGTACCCTCGGAATTTTAACTCTTCGCTTGCTGCTGAGGATGGGGACGGAGCGCTTATGGGGGTGTCCCAAGTGCTCTGATGTCGATTTTTAATTCAACATGCAACATTGTCTACACAACAAAAGTGATAAACAAAGACACTGCTGACCAGTGAAATCACCGTATTTTTACAATTTATTCCATGCACAACCTCAGCTCTTTATTACATTTTTGTAAAAAGTTTTCTCAGTTCACTCCAGTGTTCTTTTTTATCTACCATAGACCCTCAGTCAACTTGCGCCAAGCCTTCCTGTACTTTTGCTACCTTTTGCAGCACTAATTTGTCTTCTCTATATGTCCTTGTTGAAAGTTAGCATCCAAACCTATTTTCGCATTCATTGTTTCACTTAATAGATCCGACTGATGTTCAACCCCACGAAGACATCACACCGAGCGACAAACACCCGGTGATACAGAATGCCACCACTCAGATGAGGATCACTTAGTGACAGGTCCCAGAAACCCATTCAACTCTGTAGGGGTTATATTAGCACCCCCGACAACAGCCGGAGTGGGGTCTTATAATAACAAAAACAATTGCACCCCCTTATGGAATGGTACTTTTAGTAATATAAATTACCACTTAACAGATCTTCTAGGAGAAGAGATCCCTCCTATCATGGCTAACTGAATAGTTTTTGTTTTCGTATTAGACTTATTCATGGTTGCCTGGCTTTGTATTATGCCATAGAGATAGCTAGTAGAATACTATACTGTCATATGTCACAGGGTCACTGAGTTCATTGTTTGTCATGGACACAGCAGTACTTCGTTTCAATATTGTTTCATTGAGAAAACCAGTGAAATATTTGAATTTTATGGTATGCCATGAATACTGTAAAGAAATACTTGATTTTAATAAAATATGGAGAAACCCAGATATAATCGATTTAATGCCAGTGAGAAAACCAATAAAATAGTTACTTATCTCTAAAATAGTTACTGTTCCATTTTCAGTATCCCAACTGTTGATGTTTTCAAGACCAGCCAGGTGGATTTTAGTGATAACTGCATCGCTTCCTACCGGACAAAGACGGTTCATCCACTGAGGACTAGATTGTTGTATATATTTCACTGATACTTGCTAACATTAGGGCTTATGCCTTGGCCAGTTCGTGAAACAATGTCTTGAGCAGCTAGTCTTCTTCTGTTTTACTGCCTTTTATCTCCCAGTGGAACATAGACTTCCAAACAGCTTATGCCAAATTGTTCAGTTCTTTGTACAGCTTACTACCCCCATGTCCTTCCCATTCTTGCTCTTCTCTGTGTGTTGTTAGGTCTGCCTTTATTCCTTTCACCCTGCGAGTTAAATTTTCTCACTGTGTATCCTTTCCAATGCCAGCATGTTTTTCCTCACCTCATGATTCACTGGAATTGAATTCCTTGTTTTCAAAACCTCCACATTAATGGTGCTGAAGTAACTAACAACAGTTGCCTGGAAAGTACTAATGAAAGTAGGAGATTACATGTAAGACAGAATCAAGCTGTGTTCTATGGTTATATATTGAGAATAAAGGCATTGGAGCAGAATGTGACTGCTAGAAATTTCAGCAGAAGATAAGTCAGAGGGAGAGAAATGATGCTGGCCACTCTACGATGGTGACATGAAGAAATATCAAGTGATGTCAAAAAAAAAAAAAAAAAAAAAAAGGATTGAGAAGTATGAATATCTATGCATTGTGAAAAGTACCTGTGACCTCTTTCATCAACATTTATTGTAGATTTTCTCTAATTCTGCTGTCTTCCTCAATCCCTGTTTGTCTGATTACATTTCCTATTATCTGATACCGCTTTTTATAATGATTCCAATATATCACAGTTCTTCTTTTTGAGAGTAAGAGCCAATGACACTGCAGGCAGCCAGTTGATGTAAACATACATCTTCAGTAGCCAGTGCAGAGTTCCAGAACCAATGGTGCCATTTGTAGTTTCTTTATTGTTCTCATCTTCTCTTCCACTGAGTGTTGAGTATCTGCCTGATCCAGTGGCTACCCTTAATTTCTAACATTATCATGCTTTCCAAATCTTGGCAATCTATCGGTTCTTCTGCATTTTTCTTGTTCACTGTTGCTTGAGGACCTTTCAAGACAAGATTTTATATAACAGCTGCAGCTAGAATACCATGTTGACGGGCAAAATCAGCATCACAGTTAAGGTCAATATTTACAGATCATTGGTATTGTCTGTTTTCTTATACGGATGTGAGGGTTCAACTGCCACCTTGGAAATGGAAAGGAGGATTCAGGCTTTCGAAAGTAAATGCTATAGATACATTTTACGAATTAGTTATTTAGAACACAGAGCTAATAAATGTGTCAGATAAAATTTGCGAGACATCAGGTGCCTCTCGGCAGTGATGGAGTCTCACAAGTTAGCTTGGTTTGGACACGTGTTGAGACATGATTCGATTTCAAAGATTGTACTTCACAGAATATTGGGGGGGGGGGGGGGGGGGGGGGGGGGAGAAGAAGAGGAGGGCAAAGAAGTACCTGGAAGGAACAACATCAAGAAATGGACAGAACTAAGTTATCATACACATATTATTTATCAACCTGAAGACAGAGAAAGATGGCGGATTTTATGTGCTAGTGCTTCCATCAGTACACCTCCACGACCGTAACAGGTCAATGGTTATGTTATTTTGTGTTAAGTTCCTTTACCACATCTGTTGTTCTGTCATACATCAGTTCACCAACAAGTGTGTAGAATGTTTTCAGTGTATGATGGACATACAGGGTGAGAGCAACAGTCATGAAGTGGTTTAATAACCCTTTCATGGTTTTAGATTAACAACACCATAGCATCATATACTGTGTATAGGAAGTCAGTGTACACTAGCGTTGAAAAATGCAGTGCCTTAAGTATTATCTGTAATGTGTCATAGGCTTAAAACGGAATTACTGTGGGTAGAAATGTATGAGGTGTAACTCGATTTGTAGGTGTAATTCAAGCACATTGCAGTGCTTTTACTTTATATTCGGCTGCTATTGATAATCTTTACTGTTACTTGTTAACAGATGTATGGAGGGAGGTTATAAGGGCAGAGAATGTTGGACAGGCCTGCATGTCCAATTCTTAACCCTTTGGAAGTTGTTCATTCTGTTTTCTGCTTCATACATATGTGCCCTTTCTAAGCTGTTTTGTAATTATCCATTTCATGATTTCCAGTTCTTATGTTCAACTTCTTTCCTAGTATTGTTCTTTCTTGTTCTGCTGGAATGTCTAAAACTTGTTAAAAAAAAAAATATAAATTTGTGTGTGGTAAAGT